GCAAGTTCTTAAAATGTGAAACCAAAGAGCTGAGTAATAGATGCCTTAAGGATTGAGTGGAATTAGTTTCGAAAGTTCGTTACTAGCTTTAAAGTTGAAATCTGTTATGTTATCTTTCAGCATATCATTTGTGTTTAGGAGCTTTCTATCAAATTTTGTTGCTCGCTTTTGTGGGGTTCAAGCTTGTGTAGTTAATTGTCTTATTCTATTCATGTGGCTCTCAATTGAAGAGCTTTCAATACATCCTGCTTCCGCTCGAGGCTCGTGTTCTTTGAGTATCGGTGGAATTGTTTTTGGTTCTCTATTTTGATGCTAGCTCACTCCCTAATGGTTCGGTTTGTTACTTGGATCTTGCAACTGTTTTTCCCCCTTTTATAATGATTAAAGAAAACAGAGTTCAACATCACTTTAGATTGTATTTGTGCATGCTAGAACTGTTGTATATTATCATAAATTGATGATATCGTCGTCGTTGTCGATGTTGCTATCAGCCTAGTGCATCTTACCAGCTTCATGTTACTGTGATAAGAAAGTATAAAGGGAAAAACAAAATGTAAAAGAAAATCTTCATCAATTGTGAATGTTCTTGACAGGTTGATTCAACGGCTTGTTTATGTAGAGTAGATGCGGGGTTCAAGACTGTTTCTGGAGCGAAAAGATATGTACCCGGTACAAAGATGTGTCTCCGACCTGATATTAAACCATCTATTCATCCAACAAGGAGCAAGCCAACACGCGGTGATAGGAGCCGTTATCAATCTCCTCTGCTCCCTGGACTCCCCGATGATCTCGCTATTGCTTGCCTAATACGTGTCCCACGAGTTGAGCACAGAAAGCTCCGCCTGGTCTGCAAAAGATGGTATAGACTTTTGTCTGGTAACTTCTTTTATTCACTCCGTAAGAACCTTGGAATTGCAGAAGAATGGATATACATTATTAACAGAGATCGAGATGGAAAAATTTCTTGGCATGCCTTTGATCCCGTATACCAGCTCTGGCAGCCACTCCCTCCTGTCCCCAAGGAATATTCCGAAGCCCTTGGCTTCGGATGTGCTGTCCTCAGTGGTTGTCACCTTTATCTATTCGGTGGTAAGGATCCCTTAAAGGGATCAATGCGACGAGTCATATTTTTACAGTGCCAGGACAAACAAATGGCACCGTGCCCCAGATATGCTTCGTCGAAGACATTTCTTTGGTTCATGTGTTATAAACAATTGCTTGTATGTTGCTGGTGGCGAGAACGAAGGGGTACATCGGTCATTGAGGTCTGCCGAGGTATATGATCCCAGCAAGAATAGATGGTCTTATATTTCAGATATGAGCACGGCAATGGTGCCCTTCATTGGGGTTGTATACGATGGGAAGTGGTTCTTGAAGGGGCTCGGATCTCACCAACAGGTGATGAGTGAAGTCTACCAACCCGAAACTGATAGTTGGTACCCCGTCTTTAACGGGATGGTTGCAGGCTGGCGGAACCCTTGTACTTCTTTAAGCGGTCATCTTTATGCTTTGGAGTGCAAGGATGGTTGTAAGCTGAGGGTTTACGACGAAGTAACTGATTCTTGGAGTAAGCATATTGACGGTAGGATACATTTGGGGAATTCTCGAGCTTTGGAAGCAGCAGCTCTCGTTCCACTCAACGGTAAACTCTGCATCATTCGGAATAATATGAGCGTATCTCTGGTCGACGTTTTGAAATCCGACGATCTGAGGGGAGCCACTGTTGAACATTTATGGGAAACTATAGCAGGGAAGGGTCAATTCAAGACTTTGTTTACGAACCTTTGGTCTAGCCTCGCCGGCCGGAACCGGCTGAAGAGCCACATTGTTCACTGCCAGGTTCTCCAAGCATGATGACTGTAAATTTTGTTTCCTCATGCCTATCGGTAACTCTCGGAAAATCCATCGTAGTAGGTGCCTGTCGATGTCGAAGGATTCGGATACACACTGAAAGGTATGAAATGGAGATTAGTGCGAGGGTTACAAACATTTTTATAATACACTGCTTGTTAAAATGTAGAAAGTTGAAAAAGCTTGCTCACTTGTTCTTCAGCACTTTCACCATTAAAGCACATATTTTTCGACATGGCTGAAGGCTTTTCAAGATATGTTTCAAATGTATCTTTTTTTTGCTAAGGCGTATTTGTTCCATGTATTCACTTCTAAAAGAGAATTGGGTTCCTCCGTGCGCGTGACGGTCATCGTTCGATTCCGTCAATCAAAGAGTTAGGTTAATCTTTTTTTTTAAATTTAAGGGTCATATTGAGTTTTTCTACAAAAATTTGAGGGCCTCGTATATAATTAAACCAATTTTGAATTGTGTCCTGACTCGGTATATTACAACTTTTTCTTTGTAGTTAACAGTCGTACGAATCAAGTGATCTCCGTGGTAAAAGAATTATTGTTATTTCTTGAAGATCGGGGATCGAGCACTATATATATACTATGAGTGTGAATATTCAATGTTAAAAGGTGGTTGAGGGTTATCTTTAAACATATATTATTTTTTATTTACTTTAGATTACAAAAAACAGTAGGGTAAACTACACCCCCACATTCATTAAAGTTCTAGTGAGATTATATTTTACTTACTAAAGTTTCAAAAGTTATGTTAAGGTCATTAAAATTAGGGTAAATGACACGTTTAATACATAAACTATTAGTTTTGGTCCGTTTTGATATTTAACTTTCAATTTTTTAAAATCATACTTAAAGTTAAGTTTTTGTTTCATTTTAATATTCCATTTAAAATTTAATGTTAAGTTTTGGAAAAAAAAAAACAGAAAGTTTAGATACTAAAATAAACTAAAATTAGTAGTTTATGTATTAAACACGTTAAGTTTTTAACGGCTGTGCATTAAAATGAACAAAAATCAAACTTTAAGTATGAATTTTTAAAAAATTGAAAGTTCTAAATACGTAGTTTACCCTTAAAATTATTTTTTTTATTAATCTAGGGTAAACTCTCAACCTTTCGACATTGAAAGCTCACACCTCTGGCATCTATGGTGCTCGAACCTTGGCCCTCAAAGAATAATAACTATTCCTTTACCCTAGAGGTCACTTGGTTCGTGCCCTTAAAATTATTAATAAATCACAAAATGATTATTTTGTTGTTTTATGAATAGAAACGTTAACAGAAAATGCTAATATCTAAATTGACCTTTAAACTGTTAGCTTCGATCGATCAACCAAAAATATGCCAAGAGGGGGTGAATTGGCTTTTTGAAGTTTAGAGAATAAGAAATTTAAAGATAAGAAAATTTGCACAATGATTTATAGTGGTTCAACTCTCTCAATGAAGTCTACAACCACTACCTAAGCTCCTCACTTGGGATTTTCTAACAAATCTACTAATTTGTTCTTTCTTTTTCAATGATAAAAATATAACATTTACAAACTCTCTAGCTTTTCAAATGCTTAGCTAGAATTAAAGCTCCTTTACAAAAGAAAAGAACTGTAAACAATAAAACTTCTAAAAAGGAAGATGTTTACAAAGTTTAAGCTCACTAAAACACTAATACTTACAAAAGAAAGAAAAATAAGATTAAAGAATTTTTCTCTTATGTTTGATTGCTTTGATAGGTGTTGTTCACCTTCTTTAAGTGTCTTGAATTTGTTTTTATATGTTGGAATTAATCACTAGTCGTTTTTAGATGCTTGGGAAGGTTTGAAGCGGTTGGAAGACTTTCTGCACACAAAAGTTTTGAAACTTTAGGGAAAGTTTCGGAACTCTTGAGATAGTTTCGAAACTCTTGAAAAGTATTGAAACTTTTTGGGAAATTGTATTGGAAAGTTTCAAAACACTTGTAGAAGTTTCGAAACACTTGTTTAGGTTTTGAAACTTCTGGTCAAAATACTCATTTTAAGGTTTTGATTGGACTTTGAATTATTTTTGAAAACTTTGAATAAATTCAATTTAGTCTAACAAACATTTTCCCCTTATTTGTTATATCAAAAATATAAGTTATACAATCTCCCATCAAAACCTTTGAAAAATAGTTTTTGACAAAAAACCCCTCCTTATTAAAACATTTAATAAAAAAAAGAATTATTAGGAAAATATTAAAGCTCCACTTTTTTCATTCTTGAAATTAAATATTTCAAACATATTACTTAAAAATATAAGTTCTACATAAACAATAACTAAAACTTCAATTTAATCCTTGAACATATTTTTTTACTATAATTTTAAACTTAAAAATTCTAAAAAAAGGTCATAATTGATATAATAACAAATTTAACTTTTTACAAACTATATATTTTAGTCTTAGATTTAAAGAAAAATAAAGATAAAATTCACATTAAAAAATTGAATCCTTTCTTTCAATTGAAACGATAACCCAAACCATCAGTTTTAGTTTGATTTAATACCTAAACTTTCAATTTTTTAAGACCATATGTAAATTTTAGTACTCCTGCTCAAAATTTAACATTAAGTTTTAAGAAATTTGAAAGTTTAGGTACTAAAAAGGACCAAAATTAATAGTCTAGGTACTAAAAATGTTAATTTTTAATGGTGGGTATTAAAATGAAACAAAAACTAAACATTAGTTATAATTTTTAAAAATTAAAAGTTTATGTACTAAAGTAGACCAAAACTAGTAGTTTAGTAACTATATGTGTAGTTTACCCTTAAATAATACAATATTAAAAGATTAAAGATCTAAACTAAATATTATGTAGAATATGAAAGTTTTTTTTCTCGTTTTTTAAAATTATAATTAATAAATGTTTAAAGATTAAATCAAAACTTTGGTTATAATTATAGTTTAGGTATAAATTAGATATTATTATTTTTTGTTAATATGTTACATCATCAATTTAGTTGTATAATATTTGAAAAATTAATGAGCAAAGTGAATACCTATTAAAATGTAGTGGCCATAAGTATAGTTTTCCCTTTAAAGTCTGTACAAAGAAAGTGATAAACCCTAGCCAGTGATTACCAGCCTATTCGACCAAATTTAAAACAGAGCTCGGAAAAACTCCTATTGATTTGTGTCACTTGACTGTTACTCTGCAGATTTCATCCTATTCGAGGAGTCAAAGACAGAGATTTTGAAAGTTAGGGTTTTAATCGCGGAATCCCAAAATGGAAGAAATCATCCAAGGTGTCAACAGCATCAATTTGACCGCCGATTCCTATAAGAAGAACCGGATTCAAGTCTCAAATACCAAAAAACCCTTGTTCTTCTATGTTAATCTCGCCAAGGTTTTTCCTTTTTCAGTTTTCCGATTATTTCTGTATTTGCCGCTTTCTGAATTTCTGGGTATTAGTTTCTATCATTATTTTGCAACATAGGGTTTATTTCTTTGTTCATGCATTAAATTAAATCAGTATCTGATACACCCTTTTTTGTTTTTATTTGCAGAGGTATATGCAACAGCACAATGAAGTGGAGCTATCTGCCCTTGGCATGGGTACTTTTACTTCTTCAGCTCTATGTTTTCATTACTTTTAGTATCATTTTTCTACTTTTTCAGATCTTATAATTAAAGAATTATTCTCAGATATGAATTTATGTTTGTTTTTGTCTTCTCATCACAACTTTTGTTTTGACGCATTGATAGCTTAGTTTCTAAAGGAACGGATATGGGAGGGGGAGTTAATGTAATGATTTTTACTTGCTGTAGTTGTTTGATCTTTAGATTTTTGTACTGCTGCTCCACAAAATTGAATTTGAAGCTGTGATTTTAGCATTTTAACTTGCTAATTATGAACCCTTTGAGTGGCCTTGGTGATAAAATGGAGTGTTGTTCTCTCTAGAGGTTCCGAGGTTTGACTAGTTGTGTCTGCAGGGGTGCGTGCTCGATGTCAGTGGCGAGGAAAGATTCTGAACAGATACTAAATTATGGTCAATTTTGTATGCTAAGTTTTGATAATTGTAGTAACTCGTTCTTTTTTGTCTTTTTGAATGTGCAGCTATTGCAACTGTTGTTACAATTGCTGAAATTCTGAAAAACAATGGCTTAGCTGTTGAGAAGAGTAAGATATCTTCCACTTTTTCTTTTGTTTATATATTTTTTTAAAAAATGTGTTAATATGGTCATCAAGTCCCGATAATTACGATAATCAGCTTGCACCTTTGCAGAGATCATGACCTCAACAGTTGACATGAAGGAGGACGTGAGAGGGCGGCCTGTCCAAAAAGCAAAGGTAAATCAATTCAATAGCTCCCAGTGCCTCCATCTGGATGAACCGTGGTTTTTCAAAAAACATATTTGCAAGCTGAGATACATTTGTTCACTCCAAGTTAAAATCTGAAGTGATATAGAAAAATTCAGTATTAGAATTTTCATGCACTGAACTTTGTGGTATTGGTGCTTATTTAACCATTAAGGCATAACGTCATTGGCACTGTAATGTCACGGTTTGTCATTTTTAGCATCTAGTGTTGATTGATATGCTTTTATGTTCTTTCTCAGATTGAGATATTGTTGGGGAAGACGGAGAACTTTGATGAATTAATGGCAGCTTCTGCTGAAGAAAGAGATGTTGTGGATGGAGAAGTGCAGGGTTGAGACTCTGAAAGAAGTTCGTTACTTTCTGGTGGTCAGTTCTTATTGCCACTATATGGTTAAGCTAATTTGGTTTCTTCTACATTGTAGGTGTTGAGTTTTCTTGATTGTGCTAGGATGATAATTAATTTCTTTTATATGCTTCCTTTTCAATATTCAGTTTTGTTACCTGATTCTTTTGGCTTCTGTTTTCTCAAACACATCGATGCGATGTTGGTATTGTGAAATTCGAAGTGTGAATCATGGCTTCATATATTGAAGATGATCATGATTTAACCTACTTTACATGTAGTAGTTAATAACTCGAATTATGTTACGATTCTTGTCAAATGAAATCTTCTTACTATTAGGATGGATCAATGATCACTTTGTTCATTAGAAAACCAACCTTTGTGAAGACTGTCAATTTAGAAAATTATGATCTTTTAAGTGTATTTTAACATGGCATATTGGTATTTTTTTTAACAACAGTGACTAACGAAGGTGAATTAAAAGTTTAATGACTGTAATGTAATTTTTAAAAGCTTAGTGACTAAAGTACAAGCATTCTAAAACCCAGTGACTAACAATATAATTTATACAAAATTTAAAATTCTTTTGATATAAATGGGTAAATTTTGTGCGTAGTATTTAACTTAGTTTTGGTCTGTTTTTATACATAATTTTTTTAATTATACGTAAAATTTAGTTTTTGTTTCATTTTAGTACCCTATTTAAAAAATTATCATTAAGTTTTGAATTTCCTAAAGAAAAATTAAGTGTTTGAAAAAATTGAAAGTTTGGCTACTAAATCGGACCAAAATTAATAATTTAGGTATTAAACTCGTTAAGATTTTAACTATTTGAGTATTGAAACGAAATAGAAACTAAATATTTGGTATGGTTTTGAAAAAATTGAAAGTTTAGATACAAAAATGGATTAAAAACTGATAATTTAAGTACTAAACATATCCGTGTTGGACTCGTATCCAACACTCACACTCGAGCCGAACTAATGTAGTTTTGTTCTGCATTTAAACAAGCAAACAGGCAGAGTAAAGAACCAAACATAAAATCTCAACAGGATCTAACCTCGATCACCCGATGAACAATCGGAATATCAGGCCCCTACTCGGTATAGACAAGAAAATATGAATTAGCAAAACAAGCTTCAAACATGAAAATAGTTGAAAAAAACAGGTGTATAATTTGTATACGATGTACGTCATTGAAGACGACGATTTGTCCCGTGCGAATAGGATCCTTATTCATGTATAGGAACAAGATATCTCCCTGCATTTCAAAAGTATTCAAATTTACATTAGATTCTTTACCTATCACTAATCAAAATTAAATGAAAAAGGAGAAAATGCATGTAAAAAATGACTCACTCGTTGGAAACCAGGTTCCATGCTCCCTGATAGTACAACCACGACCGGCGACTTGCTCCCGGTAATGCAAATCAATCCTTTCCACATCATCAGCGCCAATGAAACAATCATTCCTTAACACGATTTAACTAAAAAAAGCCAGCCTTTTTATTAAATGTTTCGAGAAATTGAGAGGAAAGGGGAAACGCGCCGAGGCTAATGGCTTGAGAGAGAATGTATAATTTGAGTGGATTTCATGTTTTCTTCAAGCCAACCCATTGATGATCTTCACGAAACGCCCTGCAAATTAAGAATGGAATTGAAAAATAAACAATAAAAAGAGAGGAATGAGTTTGGAATTTGAGTGTTTGACTTGACCTTCGGGTACCTACATTCAGGCTCATATCCAGGGATAGGCACGCGATCCAAAATTGGCGGATTCTGATCTGTTTCGATCGATCGGGTTTGATTTTTTTAAAGCAATTTGGGTTCGTGTTGGATTAAGTTTTTAGAGTAAAAGTGAGTCGGATTAGGTTAAGAGTTAAAGGTGAAAAATATTTGATCTAGCACCTTGATCTAGCACCATGTCCAAAATCTTTGCTACAACACCTTGATTCATCGCCTAGATTTTGAGCACAATAGTTAAGTTTGTATTTGATTTTTTTTTGCAGAATGTCCCCTGTGTGTTTGTTCCTTCAAAGAAAGCACTTGGACGAGCATGTGGGGTCACAAGACCTGTAATTTCATGTTCTGTCACAACAAACGAAGGAAGCCAATTGAAATCCCAAATACAACAACTCAAGGTACTTGGCCTTCTAGTACAACATGTCACCTTGTAAAGTTTATGATATTTTGCACCCTTTGGGGCTGAATATGCTTCTGCCTTGTAACATCCGCAATATCGGGTTAGTGACCAAATTGTAAAGTTTCAGAATTTGGTGACTAAAGTAGAAGAATGAAAGAATTCAATGATTATTTGAATATATATTGAAGGTTATTTGGTAATTATTAAAGGAAATTAAGGGTATTATGGTCATTTGACCAGAAAGATTTTTTATAATTTTTTTTAAGGGTAATAAGCACGTATGAAGAAGAGTCCAGAGCATTCTTCAGTCTTCTTCTTCCTCCTCTCCACCGTGAAGCTTGGTATAAGGTAAGTGAGTCTTTAGTTGGTTAATTCTTTCGTTTTAAAGCTTGTTTTGATTCTTGGGATTTTAAGAAAGATTAAGGAAAGCTTTAGGGGGCTTAAACCTCAAAGATTAACAAGTTATGAGAAATTAAGAAAAATGAGTTTTTAAGTGAATTTTTGATATGGAAGGAGTTAATAGATTGTGAAGTTGAATTTGACTTGTCAAGGATTAAATTAAGAGGTAGGAAGTGTTAGAATTGGAATTAGAACACATTGGAAATTTGGTATGATTTTTGAATCTTATATGGAAGATAGAATTTTGAGTTTAAAGAAGGGATTATGGAGTAGAAATGAGTTTAAGTATGTGTATGAAAGTTAGGAATATTAAAGGGAATGAAGTATGATGTGTTGAGCTGAAAATGAAGGATTTTCGAGCTCAAAATATGATTTCTGGGCAAGGGGAATCGGTACCCATTCAAGGGGAACCGATACCCCTTCAAACGAACAAGAATTTCCAGTATGTCATGGGGGAACCGATACCCCCATAGGGGGGAACCGATTCCCCCTAAAGGAAAATTGGGAATATGGGTTTAATAAGTTCGTTTAAGTTGCTAGTATCCAATTAAAAGGTGTAGGTATCTAATGATTGTCACGAAATGTACATTTATGTAGATTCTACGCATAAAGAAATTCCGGAACGTTTGGCAAGTAAGATCGATCAAGGGAAAGATAAGAGATTGGAATTGGCTAGTGAGGCCAGGTGAGTGCATATTAGTTAGTTGATGGTGCTAAATGGAAACAAGACTTGCGACAAGTCTATTTCCTATGTTAGAATGCATGAATATATGATTATACGTATATGAATGACATGAATTGTATGTATGCATGAATATATGTGTTGACATGCTTTTGAATGTAATGTTATGAGAAGTATGTGCTATATAAGGTATATATATATATATACATATGTGAAACTGAACTATGTGACTGCATGAGAAAGATATGAGCCATATGACATGATATAGGTGAACATGAGAAAGCAAAGTATGAGATATAAACTATGTGATCATAGTAAAATATAATTATATTTTTACATGATAAGTGAAATAAACTGGATAATATTGATCTATAGGATGAAGTGAAAATAGTACACCAACTAGGGGATTTGAACATAAATGATAAGATGAACGTATAAGATAAGCTAGATGGGAAAGAGTCATAGGTTTAAATAAAACTATAACACATGGGTTGAATGATAGAAATTTGTGAAGTTATATGAGAAGATTATAAGAGCTATAAGAAATTGAATTAAGTAACAGATTAGATTATATATAGAAATAATAGAAGTGAGATATGTTTATAAGTCTGCCCTAGATGAATACGAAATATAAGAGTGCTATATGATTTATATTAGGATAATCTTGAGGATATATATATATAGATAGATATGAAATGAAATGAAATGAGTTATATGAATACCCAATTATGTGATGAAATGGTGAATTACCTGAACATGTGAATATATATGTTTAAGAGAAGGCATACGATTAAGATATAAGCAATGTGACTATAAGTATATGTGCTTTAAGTGATATGACTTATAAGTATTTCTATTATAATGTTACATGATATGTTATGTATGTTAAAGGAATTATGTGATGGTATAAGAATTGATAGGAAATATATATGTGAAAACAAGTATATGGTACGAGACAAAACTTATGACTATAAGCTACGTGAAAGTGTTCTAGGTGTTTCGATATTATATGAAGTATATGATCTTATGTGAACAAGATATGATAAGTATGTTTATATGAATAAAGGTGATTGGGTGAGAAATGATAGAAATTATATGAAAACATGACATATGTGACATGTGAATTATATGGAAATGATCTACGGGTAAGTGAACTACGTAACTATGTGATCATATGAAAAGAAGCTATGTGATACGTGATATGTGAAAGTGAATTACAAGTTTATGTGTATATTTGAAATGAAATAAATGATAACGCCCATGTTATGTGTCATGAGAGCTAGGGGTATAGTTGGCATGCCAAGAGTCGAGGGTTTATTCGGTTCTTTAGGACATATGTATATCCTTTGGAACCTGTGTGAAGTCTTGAAAGACACATACTTGATCCATAGTATATGTATATGATTCTTAAGGAATTCTACGTGGTCCTTATGGACATCATTCTACGGGCACTACGGTGCAATTCTACGGGCACTTCGGTGCAATTCTACGGGGCACTTCGGTGCATTTATACGAGCTGTGGTGACAGCATAGTGCACAACCTCTATAGACTCACATATCGATAGTTCTCACATATGTACATGGGCTAATCCAGAGATATGAACCAATATAAGTTAGTGGTATGATAAATGCTATAGAAATGATATGATGTTGTGTGTGTATAGTGTTTGATTGAAATAGTATGTGATTATATGATAAACTGTTAATGATGAATTATGTGTATGCATGTATTTACTGCAATTAATCTGATATGATTTTATACGATATGAAAAATGCATGAACTTGCTGTAACATGATAGAACAACCCATACATGTATCAATATAGGTTTTAAAGTGCATTATAAGTGGTTATGCCTCACTAAGTCTTCGACTTAGCGTGTGATTGTTTCACACGTAGGTTTCGAGAAGAGTAAGGAGTGATGCGGAGCAAGACAGGTCAGTTTTCCTTACCAAAAGATCAGATCAGAAATATTTGATAAAGTATGTT